TAAAAAACCAAATTAAAACTTCAATGATTTTCCGATGTTCCGATAAAATGGAAGGCGGGAACGGAATGAGGAAAATTTCCTATATTTTTTTGCTTCAAAATATTCCGAATATAGAGTTCTTTCGGAGGGTCGCGTCAATGTCATCCGATGGTTATTACGGACCGAGTCGCGGGATAGACTTATAGAGACTAGATGTGTCTGGAATATGTATTAGCGGTAATGAATGTGTGTGTATGTGTTAGTGCTTTCGTATGTGCGCCTATGTAGGGCTGTAAAAATGTGTTTTAATAAAATGAGTTTTCGTATATGAATATAAAATAATGGATTGTTCTTATAAAGAGGATTGGTAATTCTATTGTATGTAGTTGTTAGAATCAGATGTTTATTTTTAATCTGCGTTGAATTTTTTGCGTTTGCATCTATAATAGAAGAAAAGACTTATAGATCAACGCACAGCTGGAACAAGTAGGCCTAGAAGCATGAAATTTTGCACAAATATTCCTTAGGGAACGTAGGTGTGCACTATTAGAATTTTAAAAATCTACTTCTAAGGATGCGAAATGGGGGTTGGAAATTTATATGAAACTGTTATTTTTAGTAGCAGCGTTTTCAAACTCAAAGTAAATCCTCTTTAGTTTGTATCTTCTTTTATACATATACCTTTAATCTTGATTCATTGTATCCTCTACGATGTCTGATGTCGACCACTACGCACACGAAGTCGCAGGAAAAAGTAGTAGTAGTCGCAAGTAACTCATAATTTAAAATGTTTCATGACATTAATATTTTCGCATGTTGGAATTAGCATTGTATGTTGCTGTCTTTATTTTAATCGGCAAAATGTGGGTTGTCGATTAAAACACAGACATTTTTGCGCATTTTTGAGGTTACGTTACCCTTCAAATTTAATTATGCCTAATAAAATACACAGGGTATCTTAAAGTTTAAGTCTTTAGCTTTCAAATCAGGTTGAGTTTGCTCAAATTTCATTTCTTTTTTACTGAGATAGTAGTGAACAGGGTTTGCTTAGTTTAATGGCTTGCATTTCAGTTAAAGGTTTGCTAAGCTGAACTTGGGGTGGACAGTATTTGATTGGTTTTAAGGCGAAAAACATGATATTTTAGCAAAGTCAATTGGAAGTCATTTGGAAGCTGAACTTTAAGATAAGTCTAAGATGACTTCCACCGTTAAAAAAAAATGAAATAAAGATATTTTTAGTTTGAGTTTATATTTGGTGGTAAGTTAAACATAAGCCGTCTAAGAGCCATATTACAATTCTTGATATTTAAAAGCTAAGTATGTTTATCAGTAGTCTGGTTACCACAGTACAGGCTCTGTCTAGTTTGAAATCAGACAACCGTGTGTAAGACTTTACAGTTATATTATGTTATACATTAAATACACACAACACCGAAGCCACATCTAGCAGTCAATTACCTTTGAAATCTCTAGTGATGCAACAAATGAATATCGACATCTAATATTTTATGCCACCAAACTTTGATTGACGTAGTGACGTGACATAACGGTTTTTTTTTCTATTAATATTTGTCAAAGTTAGGCCAACATCAGTCGTTTCTTTTGTTTAATATGCGAAAAATTAGAAATGTATATCAAATATATTATAAAAAGGGCTGTTCTCAGATGTGAAGCTCGCTCGAAGAAGTCGCTCTAATATTTTGAGTAATCGTAATCGACTTCTTCGAGCGAGCTTAATAACTTAAACATGAGAAGGAAAACTTGACGCAAACCTTATACAACTTGTCTGACCAACAAGATATAGTAGGCCAAAACCTACCTTCTAAGGAGAGGCACAGGGCACAGTTTAGACCAGCAGTGGCCTATTATAAGCTGTTGATGTAATGATGTGATATGAGCATCAGAAAATCATAAGATAGCTCTTTTGAAGGCAGTGAGAATCAAGTGTAGTATAACGCTAAATAAAGTAATTTACAACGTAGATAATTTACTTTTAAAAAACTAGCATCGACCTTAATGTGCCCAATAACGATAAACTGTGTCAAACGGTATTCTTAATTTTTTACGGGATATTTTTATACCATCTCAAATAACAAAAGAATTTATAAAATCCGTTCGTAAATGCCGAAATTCTGCGGTATCAAAACATTTTTTTTTTTATGAAAAGACAACGTCCGCATTAAGAATATATATCCTGTGTCGCGGGGGACTATACAAACATACATGAACGGACACAAAGAACACCCAGACTCAGAACAACAACAATTATAGAGAATTACAACTAAATAGTAACGAACTTCCATACCAAACGTACTAGCCTCATGTCAAAGAGCTTACTAACTCACTAACAAAACTACAATCTAACATTACGAAAAGTTGAGATAGTAGTGTGAATTTAATTAAACTATCGAATTCATCCCATCCCTATTCGTTAATAGCACAGTGCAATTGTTTGCCAATTGAAATCGAAAACTTGTTTAATTAATGGCCGTAAAGACGAACCGATGAGCCAATTAGTGCGGGGCACCCAATTATCGATGTACGAGTGTTAATATCACTAATATTAATTTTAATATAGTATTGTTCGTTTCGGAATTAATGTGTAACGGTTTTAACTTTGATCCGGGTATTATCAAATAGGTAATTGCGGATAAATTTAGTTTTTATATATCAACATTGAGCATTAGCAGTCATTGTGTATTATGATACTGAACTAATTTAGAATTTGTAACGCGCATTAATTAAATCGTATCTTTATTAATATAATAACACGTATATGCCTTTATTTGGTTTATTACAGTTTATCACACTTTAACTAAGCAAGCGTACTGTACATGTTGTCAGAGGCACACGTTTAGGGTTAATTTTATCCAGAGAAAAGTATTGTTTCTAAATGATATCAGATCGATCTAAGTGGCGTGCAACGGAAGAGGCAATGAAATGTCCAGCGGTGGACTGCGATAGGCTGACGATGATCATGATATCAGATTTGATTGACAGGCTAGTTACAATATTTATTAATATTTTTATATCTTTAGTTACTTTTTCATTTCCAACGCTTTAAAAACATTTGAAAAACATAAGAATGCTGTATTTGAAACCTATTATACTTGACTGCGTTATTCTGAAAGCAATCTTAACTGTTTTAAGACTTGTTGACATTGGAAAATCTATTTCCAATGTCAACAAGTTTAGAAAGTAAGAATATGATATTCAGGAAAGGGAACATTACTGGTCTATATTTGAAAGCAGATCCACAATCTAAAATAGAAAACTTACGACTGATGAAAAGTAATTAAAACATACAAAAATTATTGTACAAGAAAATCCTTCCTAAAAAAGTTGAACCGACTTTAAACAATACTAACAAAGAGCACTAAAAAAAAAACCTAGCAGCAATCGTGGTTGATTTGCTGTCATTTTTTAAAGAGTTCCGTTTTCTGTCACCGAAACTCATCATCAGATGTTTATGAAATTTAAATGGGATCCATTTCGGAATAAACCCCTTTCGAACAAAAAAAGAATTTTGAACATCCGTCATTATATGACGGAGTTATGCCCAAACATACAAAAAAATATTTAAACATCCAAATGAATAACCAACTGTTTTTTGAAGAAGGTCAACAAAGTTAAGAGAAGCATTTTGTATGTTCCGTTGTAGAGAAATAAATAACCGAATAAAATTATTTTGAAATTCGGACAGAAAAATTACAGAAACTGGTAGATTTCACCACATGAGTAGTGTTATTGAAAACCCGATTCTGGTGAGACTTGATAGACTCCTCTCAATTCTGGCGAGGGCAGATTCAATTACTCTTGAATTGCAGGTTTCTATGGCCACAGAAATCACTTGTCATTGCGTGACCCATCATGACATTCTTGTTGGAACCCTTTCACCACAAATAAAAACATTAGGCATAAAAGTTTAATTTTCTCTTATCCAATCGGCTACACAACTCAAAACAAAACAATACATTATTTTTTCAATAACTGGATGTTGGAATAATTCCAGTTCGTCAATACTCGCTCTCAAACCAAATATTCCACGATCTGTCATTAATTGAAAGTCCAGGGTACTCAGCGGAGCGTTATTGGATTTTACAGTCTCCTTTGCCAAATACGAATAAAAGTTGGGCTATTTATTTTTCCAATTCATGTGTGTATACTTTTAGAGGTTTTTTCGTGTACATATACCGAGTATTTGCTGTTTGTTCAGTAACCTCGCCTTTCTGTAAAGCACTCAATGTGAAATGTACAGAATTGAAACCTAAGTTTTTTTTGTTACAAAATAACAGTTAACTTTTATTTTCATATGCTACATGCGGTAATTTTTTAAACAATAACTTTATAAATAATTGATTTGTATGACTGAGTTGAACGTATGCAGGTTTAATTGTTACTATGTATATACGTAATTCAAATGCGCAGATTGAAAGAATCTGCCTAGATGTGACAACATTATTGGGTTCGATTATCAATCAGGAAAAATATTGTGTGATGAGCACGATCATTTCTTCTGCATCTGGGTATATCTACAATACGTGTATTTAGAAATATATAGGTATGTTTATCAGCAGACTGGTTCCATAGAACAGGCTCTGCCTAGTTTGGGATCAGACGGCCGTGTGTGAGAGATTATTATTATTTTAATACATTAATTACATGGTACACCTTAATTACATGGTGCAGCAATAATAGTAATGAAGTAGTTTTGCACGGATGACGTAGTGGTTTAAGCGGTCGCCACGCTGTCTTACTGTGCTGAGTGTTGTGGGTGTGGGATAACATGGGACACCACTTTGTGTGATCCACAAATTGTTGTTCTGAGTATCCATCCGTATCAGGTATGTTTGTAAAGTCCCCCGTTACACAGAATATACGAGTATATTCCTAATGCGGGAGTTGTCTTTTCAAAGTTCCAAAAGCCCACTCTATATGTAAACAGATGGAGCCACATATCGGTTTATATATTTGAACTCCAATACTTAAGGTTTATTGTAGTAACATACACTATTACATACCTTTATCACCTTTCAGTTCCACATTGCCACGGTACCACACGATTCTGGCAGCTGGCTTCGCGTTCTTTACCAGACAGGTCAGAGACACATCCTCGCCTTCTTTAACTTCAAGCTTGGAACCCGGTGGGTGATTCGTTATTTCGACTGCGTTCGGTGGTGCTGTAACAAGACAAAAAATCTTAGGAACCTAAATTCAAATCAGCAGTTTTAAAATCATAAATGACAGGGAAAAAAGATTATAAATGGGTACTCTTCTAGACCTATTTCTTAGCGTTCTATTGATTCTCCGTGCAGGTGCCGGGTCCATCACGTCATAGATGGGGGCAACACATGCCACTTCGACGGCACCTGGGAATTGCGACCCAGGAGTAGGTTTAGGGAGTACTCCTTGCAACGCGTCAGCGCTTCTGTCAGCTGTGTTACCCCCTCTACCTAACCATATTTGATACGAGCCTAGAAATGTCGCTTTGGATATTCGTTCAAGAATGCAGCTTAAAGTGCTAATTACTTATAATATGTAAAATTTAACGATGGTTTCTATAGAACCGTGCGAACAACTGCTTTTGCGTGAGCTAGCTAAACCTCGGACAAATTCTATTTTATTTTATTATTTCATTTATATTCTCATGTTACAACTAGATCCTCCCAGTCAGATCGTAGTACATTTATCATTTCCCCAATTTAAATAAGTATATTTTGACCGCGAGCTTTATCACAAAGTGACATTATTCCATTAATTCAGATACCATTAATTATTATTAATCACATTCGGGGGAGTTCGGTATTAAAAAGCAGGGATCGTAAATTAAAATGTAATCTTTAGGGGTGGAAAATTTGACCAAATTTTATGTTTAGAAATGAAAAAAATCTCTGATTGATTGGTGTAACCTGTTAGGTACTGAATTCAATTAAAAATAATATTCGAAAACTGAATGTAGGTATATGTGACGAATAAGTGTTCTAAATGAATTGTTTTTTTTAGAAAATAGCAAATTAAAATTTATAAAACCAGCTCGAGTTTTTGTCTTTTATTTTTCAAGGCTAATGTTACCTTCCTAGGGTACACCTGGTTCCCCGGCAACTGGCACCCGAGAGTACCTACCCTAGGGTACACCCGGCGTGCGGTTTTTAGTCGGTTCGAGTTTGACATAACCACCGGTGGGTGGTATCCGAGGGTTTTCCCCTCAGAAAAAAAAGGCCAATGTTAAATAGTAACGCATTCCATAAGAATACACTTTGAGTAGTAAAATATCTATTATACATTTTGGTGGAATGCTGTGGTATCTCCATTCTTCAAACCCCATTAATGATGGAAGTACACTTATCACAGGCCATTGAAAGTAACAATAACGGGAAATATTCAGCTCTTAAACCACTAAGACAAAACTGCCAGACAGCAAGTGCACACTACCAAGATATATATCTTTCCAGAGATCATTTGAATTCTGGGGACTAAAATATATAACTTGGATTTTCCAATTCTAAAAGTTCGAAGTACGGAACTATCTGCCATGCTTCTGAGTGATTTAAGTGCACAATATATCTCTAAATGGTACAATATGCTGGATATTTTATCTCTTTATAAAAGATTCTTGAATAAAAATTTAGTTAATGTAGAAACTACGTGATTGGTGATCTATTTGCCTGCAGTTGTACACCAAAGTACAATACTAAATGTGTATGACGAATGACGACCGGATGGCGTAGTGGTTTGTGTAACGGACTGCTATTCCAAAGGTCGCGGGTTCGATTCCCGCTCAAGTCAAACATTTGTGTGCATGAACATTTGATGTTTGATTTGGTCTGGGTGTTTCTATGTATAATGTGTATGTATTTACAAAAAAAATAGTATATATGTATTTATATCAGTTGTCTAGTAGCCATAGTACAAGCTCTGCTTAGTTTGGGACTAGATGGCGTTGTGTGTATGTGGTAGAATATTATTATTATTATTATTATAATGTATTATATAGTTGTCATGTAGATAAGCTTTGAGGTTATATTTGATAAGCCTTGTCTAGTAAATAGTGATCTTTACTGCTAAGCTACAAATTAGCTCTGGGTCGTGCGCTCCATTCCCACCAAGAGCAAATATAAATGTGTGATTAGCACGGTCATTTGTTCTGTCTGGGAGTAATGTATGTATTTAGTAATATATGTGTGTTTATCAGCAGTCCGGTTACCGTAGTACAAACTCTGCCTAGTTTGGGATCAGACGGCCGTGTGTGAGATTATTATTTTTACATACATTTTAACAAAAAAATTAAGAGTCAAGACAAAACAGTTATGGACAAACTTTCATTTGTTAGTAAAACGACTTTTCGAGACTATTACTCGTAGGATAGGTACATTATACGCAAAATTTTCCTTCGTAACAAAAGAAACCATAATCTAAGGATATATTCTTCTTATATCTTTCAAAGTACAATACTTTGACGTTACGAACAATATATTTTTAAAGCTATAGTTTACCAGGAGCATAACAAATTGTAACTAAAACCTTACAACAACCTGCCAGACGCATTTATAACTGCGCTGAGATGAGTATGGGGTTAAGGTATAAACTTAAGCGGTAGAGATTTCAACTGGTAGTGTTGAAATGGGTTCTGTAAGCTCGATATTCTGAAAAATTTAAATTATTGCTTTAAATTGGGATACTAGTGAATACACGGATGAATACGACTGCACGGATGGCGTAGTGGTTTAAACGGTCGCCACGCCGCTTCCTACTACGTCGAGTGTTGTGGGTTCAAACCCCACATGGGACGACACTTTGTGTGATCCACAAATTGTTGTTCTGAGTCTGGGTGTTCTTTGTGTCCGTTTCATGTATGTTTGTAAAGTCCCCCGCGACACAGGATATATTCCTAATGCGGGAGTTGTCTTTTTGAAAAAAAAACAAACAAAACAAACAAAAACAAGCAAAAAAATAGCAAAGGAAGAATAGTTATAATAGACTAGACTAGTCACTTTCCATCAGGTGACCCGTCTGCTCGTCTACTCCCTCTAACAAATCACAATCAAAGCACAGACATGGGTAAGCAAGTCGCTTTTCTTCGAGCTACAGTCTCAGTCCTTCTTTTAGCCATTCCAGCTGCCTACTCTATGCTAGATCTTAGCGTCAGGTTGATAACCAGCAAATAAGGGAGCCATCACTCTTTGCAATGTTGGATATAGCGCTAACTAATGTGTTCTATTTAGTTAATTATAAAAGTTAGTGTAAGAGCACAGCTTATTAAATTTAGATCATGACTTCTCTTTTATAAAATAGCCAATTAGCCTGCTTTTGAATATTTGATTCCATTTAAATTGGCTTCCTTTTAAAGACTAAAAACTGAAGACGTTTTGCTAAAATAATGAAAATCAAACATATAAAAGTTTGTAAACTTACAGTATAAAGAAAGAACCTTCACGCAAGTATATACCTACATTGAAACTTAATCAACATAAAAGCTACCACAAGTGTCAGTTATCTTAGACATAAAGTGATACTAAACCATCACAAGATAACTTGTAAAACACACGCATACTCAAAATTAGTACTTCAAAAAGCAACTTTATCGAAGCAGAGGCCTTACTCCGCTACCTCTTCTAACTTATGAGCGGTAACCGGATATTACTGTACTCACAAAGGTGGGAACCAGCTTTGTTGCGGTTCATGACGCTCTTTGTGGTGTTTAGAAGTGAAAAACTTAACGTACAGCGTGTTAGGGCGTGGAATGGCGCCAATGGTGGAATGGAATGGGAATTAGTCAATAATGTCTGGTTGAGAATACATACCTTATTTGATTTTAGTTGAGGGGTTGTGAGTTTCAAATTTTTATTTAAAGACAACTCTCGCTCTGGGAATATATCGGGGGGACTTGCCAAACATACAGTGAACGGACAAAATGAACACCCAGACTCTACAGAACTAAAATTTGTGGATTACACTAAGTGTCCACAAATTCGATCGGGGATCGAACCCACGATGCCCTTAAACCACGACCACTTAAAACACAACACGTACAACCATACTTTTAGTCGATTATTAATTTAATTATCTTGTTTACTCTTATTTTTATTGGTTTTAATTAGGAATTATTTATAAACGTAAATAGAATTCTATAGATGAATTTTTGGGCAATATTTCGCTGTCAGAAGAGGAAGATGCTAGAACGAATTCGAAAACTAAAATAGTACATTTGTCTTTTTTTCTATCACTTCCGAATCTGCTACTCAAAAGACCCCAGTGTTTTACCACATTGAATGCCCCCCAGTGTTAGAAGTAGGAAGGGTGAGGCCGTAGTATCAGTCTGGTTGTCTTTCCGAAGCATTTCTCTACCGCAAATACTTACAAGGGCCTTATTCAGAAGAAAAACGCTATAGTAATAATATAATAATATTGTACCACATACACACAACGCCATCTAGTCCCAAACTAAGCAGAGCTTGTACTATGGGTACTAGACAACTGATATAAATACATAAATACTATTTTTTTGTAAATACAAACATATTATACATAGAAACACCCAGATTCATGCACACAATTGTTTGACATAAGCTGGAATCGAACCCGCGACCTTAAAATAGCAGACCGTTATACAAACCACTACGCCAGCCATCTTTAAATAGTAATAATCTTCGTCTAAAAATATTAATAAACAAGAGAGAATCCACTCCAAAAGCCACTTCAACCATATAGTAAAACCAAAACTAGTTTCTGAAACCAGTAATAAGTTATTGAAAATCAATACATTACGTACCTATTGCTTACAACACAAAATTATGCCCTTCAACTATATTACCAGCGAAACCTTTCAAAAGATTCTGTCAATACATCCATCAATATCCTATGAATGCTTTTGTGGGCCGTTACGGCTTCCGTTGCCATGGCAACTGAGAGCAAATACTACCAAGATACCGACAATAAAACATGTATTTGATTACACTGAGCAGTATAATGTCCTGGAAGTATAAGCTGTATGTTATATGGCTGTTAAGTGTATTAGAAACGAAAGGGATTATAAGTCTGTTCGTTGGGTCTAAAATAGAACCTTTTTGTTCTATACTAAGTGCTAAGAAAAAGCTATTCGACTGTTTCTGTTTTTTAGTAAGGGGGCAAACGAGCAGACGGGTCACCTCAAGACAACACCTCATGAAACGAACTTACAAAATTGTTCATCCTTATCATCAACAGTCTTTATGAGTCTACTGCTGGACATAGACCTTTCCTTAGAAAGGAGGTTTTGGTGCTGCTGCTACTATACAACGCTCACCAAGTGGGTTCGTATTGGGTTTATGTCAAGTTTTCCTTCTCTTTAGAGTGATTTTGTTCTGCGTAGTTTGCTCTCTTAGTTGGCTCTTACGACACACACGTAACAAATAAAGGTGGTGACACTCTGTATTCTTAATCTGTCATCAAACGGATAAAATTGTGAGCTATAAGGTATCACAGTTCATTATGGACCTTGTCAGGCACCGCAGCGTAGGAGAGGGTATGAAGTTATGATAATAAAATACTTAATTGTACCTAAATGTTCGTTTTATTGTGTAAATAAATGTATTTAATTCATACTTCGTTCGTCGGTACCAAGGCTTTCCTTTCTAGGGTATACGTACCCGGCTACTGGTGACGGCGTGCGGTTTTGGGTAGGTTCGAGTCCGACATATTCACCCACTGGTGGGGCAAAAGACCCGATGACGGAATACTGTGTGGTTTTAGTTGGTCCTATATATATAAGTTACAGTTTGGCCCCGGTGAAGTGGCGACCTACGTAGGTTTCCGCAGAATAAAAATGGTGGTTACTAAAGGTGTAAAAATTTATATTATGAACAAATATTTATGATTGCATGGATGGCGTAGTGGTTTAAGCGGTCGCCACGCCGCTTCCTACTGCGCCGAGTGTTGTGAGTTCAAACCCCACATGGGACGACACTTTGTGTGATCCACAAATAGTTGTTCTGAGTCTGGGTTTTCATTGTGTCCGTTTCATGTATGTTTGTAAAGTCCCCCGCGACACAGGATATATTGGTAATGCGGGAGTTGTCTTCTTTAAAAAAAAGAAAGAAAATAATTCTAGCAATCGTCTGCTATTACACTGCTGAGGATCGTGACACCCTTTCACCCTGTCAACCTGTTACGATTGGTTGCTTGGTTAAGTCCGAAAAGTATATAATAGTCCTATATATAATACTCGTATTAGTCAGATTTCTTTAAACTAAAGCTGATAAAATCTAAAACATTTACAAAAAGTAAGGTTGTAAAACACGAAACCCTTTGAAAACCTAATAGTAAAACCATCAGGTGTTCCGTAATTAGTTGAGTGATCCCTAATTTCGGATTAGGTCCGATCCATCACTTATTCTGGGCATTCGTCAAACTTTTGTTTAAGAAAGTATACAAGTAACATTGTACGCAATAGTTTCGGTAAATGTTCGGACAAACTCTGAATAGGTAACGAAGGCTGTATTCTCTTGTTTACAAGAAAACAACAACTACGAGAACCTTCGAATAACCATTTATATATTTAACTTATTTATTTGAACGTTGAATATTATTTCGGATATTTGACACACAACGCCATGTAGTTTTCAAACTAAGCTTGTACTATGAAAGCTAGATTGACTGATAGAATACTTGTATTCTTTTTTTCCGTAAATACATACATATTATGCACTGAAAACAAATATTTTCAGATCGTACAAACATTTGGTCCGACCCGGGAATCGAACCCACATATCTGAGGAAAAAGCTTTTTACGAAATTATTTATGTAAGAAGTAAAGTTATCAAGTTGACAAGTCATTTGGTCTTATGGTTAGCCATCCTGAATGCTCATCCGGAGGTCTTGGGTTCGATTCCAATCCAGGACAAATCATTGTGTGATGAGCACGATCATTTGTTGTGTTTGATTTTAGTTAATCTATAATATGTTTGTATTTAGAAATATATAAGTATGTATATCAGCAGTCTGGTTACCATAGTACAGGCTCTGCCTAGTTTGGGATCAAACGGCCGAGTGTGATGTGTGTGAGTGTATCATTATTATTATTATTTTATTATTATTGTCTCTACCACTGATACAGGTACTGAAGCTCCACGCTGAATAAGCTTAAAAACTCTTAATTAAACTCTAAACATTTCGGCACAAAATCTTTTACTATAGAACAAAAATCTTATTTATTTGAATCCTAATACAATAAACCAGTAAAAACCAAAACCTCTGTACAACAGTTCCAATCTAATAAGAACAAAACAAGCAAGTTTCAAGAATAGATTTAAATAATTCTGTAATCCAATTCTGAAGGAGCAATTCCCGCGGATCCCTAAAACGAAAAAACACAAAAGGGTTCCGTCGATCGAAATGTGCCAGGTTAATAATGCAATTAGAAGTGCCGCTTGTACTGGGTAGGGTTGGGTCGCAGTACAAAAGGAAGCGAGTATTATATTATTTTATTCACGCTTCAAAACTATTTATCTCTATTTATCTTTCAATATAAAGTATAAAAATTAAAAAAAACGTACGAACCTTGATCTAATCTCATATGGTATGTAAAATCTGACGTCTCATTTACCGTCTGATAGCCAACTCTGACACCATGCACTCATTGATAACTCTACTCATTTCTAATCTCGAAATAACTCCCATTTATTGCAAGAAAACGAAAGAAAACATCATAAACAGCCTTTAACAGTCCACTGCTGGACATAGGCCTCTCCTTACAAAGGAGGTTTTGGCCTACTATACCACGTTGGCCAGACGGATTGGTATAGGGTTTGTGTCAATTTTTCCTTCTCTTTTCAGTATTGCTGTCCTCCCTAAATCGGCTTTTATGACACCCACGGGATGGTTGGGGGTAGTGACAAAAGGAAACATAGTACGACAATTACTTAACTGAAAATTCTCACGAGCCTATAAGCAAGTTACACGCCCACAGTAGGACCACACCCGACTACTAAAAGCCACTTCTAACCGTGAGAAAAGGTAATTATTGACTTTTTCAACTTCCTTCCTCGACGCCTGGCGAAAGTAGATAAGGCTGCCTAATTAAAACCCGTACTGTAGTTCTTTTCGTGAGTGAGCGAGAGTTAGAAAAGGAAAGTTAGGTATTTCATTGAGACTAAGGAATTTATCTTCTAAGACATGTTATGATTATGCTGTTCAGATGTCGTTAGACCTACGTTTTTGAGTTTTATACAGGTGAGGTGGCAAAATATGATATTAAAAATTGGCAATTTTCATAAAATAGTTGAATTTTATAGCCACACTATTGACTGCACGGTTGGCGTAATGGTTTAGCGGTCACCTCACCGCTTCCTACTGCGCTGAGTGTTGTGGGTTGGATACCCACATGGGACAACACTTTGTGTGATTCTCAAATTGTTGTTCTGAGTCTGGGTGTCCTTGTGTCATGTTCATGTATGTTTGTAAAGTCCCCCGTGGCACAGGATTTATTCTTAGTGCGGGAGTTGTCTTAAAAAAAGAAAAAACTATTACAGAAAATTATTATAAATAACGTGTCCGTGTATTGACGGATTAAAAATACGGGATGTCACTACCCCAATTCATCCCGTGGGTGTCGTAAGAGCCGACAGCAGGACACTAGCACCTCAAAAAGAAGGAAAACTTGATACAAACCCTATACCAACCCGTCTGGCCAGCGTGGTATAGTAGGCCAAACCCTCCTTTCTAAGGAGAGGCCTATAATGTCCAGCAGTGGACTATTAAACGCTGTTGATGATGATGATAAATAAAGCAAAAACTCGACTGCTCAAAAAATACTATAAAAGATTTGTATCGGTTTGGACGTTTAATAGATACAAGGGACCTATAAACGGACAGTCATTTAAAGCCAAACCTATAATTTTATTACTATAAATAAAAAACATCACAATATAATCACAAAATGGTTGTTTTAGTTGTATATAGGTAAGGGTTTGTGTAGTCTAAAGGTAAATATGTGTGTGTGGAGAACAAATTAATGGGCGGTTAGCCTCGGCCTCACTGCCCAGGATTTACTTACTAAGATTATCTCGTATCCTACATAATACTATCGTTACTTATCTCAAATCGTTTATTTATTTATTTATTAGGATCTCCTACAGTAAGTATACACAAATAAATAACTTCTTTACAAGCATACATGAAACGGACACAAAGAACACCCAGACTCAAAGAACACTATGTGGATCACTCAAGGTGTCGTCCGTGAAGCAGCGTGGCGGCCGCTTAAACCACTACACCATCCGTGCAGTCGAATTGACTGAAGGGGTATAAAGTTGGTGTACTCCTTCACTTACAGGAAGACCACAGCAAGCACAATGAAAAAAT